AATAAACCCGAATTCTGAATATTAAAAATAATAATAATAATGATAAAAATAATGATGACGACGACGACAACGACCGCGTCGATGGCAGTAGTACTAATAATAATAATAATAATAATAATAATAATAATAATAATAATAATAATAATAATAATAATAATAATAATAATAATAATAATAATAATAATAATAATAATAATAATAATAATAATAATAATAATAATAATAATAATAATAATAATAATAATAATAATAATAATAATAATAATAATAATAATAATAATAATAATAATAATAATAATAATAATAATAATAATAATAATAATAATAATAATAATAATAATAATAATAATAATAATAATAATAATAATAATAATAATAATAATAATAATAATAATAATAATAATAATAATAATAATAATAATAATAATAATAATAATAATAATAATAATAATAATAATAATAATAATAATAATAATAATAATAATAATAATAATAATAATAATAATAATAATAATAATAATAATAATAATAATAATAATAATAATAATAATAATAATAATAATAATAATAATAATAATAATAATAATAATAATAATAATAATAATAATAATAATAATAATAATAATAATAATAATAATAATAATAATAATAATAATAATAATAATAATAATAATAATAATAATAATAATAATAATAATAATAATAATAATAATAATAATAATAATAATAATAATAATAATAATAATAATAATAATAATAATAATAATAATAATAATAATAATAATAATAATAATAATAATAATAATAATAATAATAATAATAAAGCCAACGGCCATAGCGTGCTGGTCACACCGGTTCCCGTACGATCACCGAAGTTAAGCAGCATCGGGCGTGGTGCAAACTTGGATGGGTGACCGTTTGAGAACGCCACGTGCTGTTGGCTTAAAAAAGAGCAAAAAAATGAGAACAAGACAAAGTAAGAACCAAAAACAAAATCTTGTTCTACTGTCGACCTGAGGCAGCTCGACGAGAAC